CGGCACTCCAGGCCTGTATGGTGCCGAGCCAGGCCCACACCGGCTGGGACCCCGTCAGCACATCCCTGGTGTCTGATGTCCCATTCAGGCTTCACCACCCTGCCCGGGACATGAACACCCCTCCCCATCGTAGAGATGGCACAGAGGCCCCACCAGAAGGGGCAGCAACCTTCCCGATTTCCATGGGCCCTTCCAGAGGGGTGGGAGTGTGCTGCTCTGCCTCAGGTCCCAAGGGGGCACCCAGGGACTGCTGTGTGACCCGCAAGCCCCAGCCCTCTCTGGGCCTGCCTCATCCCTCTCCATCTCCAGGGCTGTGACGCATGGGGGAGCAGGTCCACGAGGGCACATGGACCCTGGGGTGAGACGAGGAAGGACAGAGCCGATGCTGGGGTGCTGGGAGCCGGGCTCCCTCACAGCCACCTACTTGCTCATGTCAGCAGACCCCTCATGGGACAGCAGCAGAGCATCCGGTGGGCCTGCTGGCACACAGGGAGGACGGCCTGATGCCAAGAGCACACCCCACAGGACCGTCCATGACCCTCTAGCTCTGATGGAACCTTGGTCTTGTCCAGAAACTCTCCTAACAATTCTGCTTTGCCATCCAGGTGGGCGTATGGCTGGGTCAGCCGCTGGGCAAGAAAGTGCTCTGCTTTGCGCTGCACTGGTGGCAGAGGGGAGCCCCAGGCCCTGCACTAGACTCCTCCGCAGCCACAGGCCATTCCACCCTCTCCCTGCTGACTTCTCGCTCATGTCCAGCGGGGCTCCCAGGAGTAGGGGGCGTTTCTCATCACTTCCACTCCTCGACCCCCCCCACGTCCCCAGGCCCTGGCATGGGCACCATCTGGGACTGGATGCTCCTACCACTTTCCCAAGGAAGCCAGATATCATCACAGACAGTCACTCACTGGCCACAGTGTCCTTGTCTCTGCCTGTCATCATGCTGCCCCCACCCTGCTTCCCCACCAGCAGCTGGCACCACCAAGCTGCTCGGCGTTGACTGTGCCACCTGGTGGCCGCAGCAGGAGATGCTGAGACAACCTCCTGGCCCTGCCCGGCCCTCTCCCTCCTGCAGTTGAGTAACTTGACCTCTGAGCAGCCTCTTCTCTCAAAGGTGCCTCTTAATTCCCTCCTTCCTCAACAACTTCCTTGGGTCTGGCCTAATGCTCTGAGACGGTCCTCCCACAGTGTCAACCTCTCCCGCCTGCCTTTGAGCCAAAAGACAAGCCCAGCCCCGTCCGGTCAGTGCAGGAGGCTCTCTGGGGACCCAGATCCACAGAGAAAATGAGGAAAGTGGTCCAAAGTACCTTCAGGAGCACCTTACCCTGCCTCCTCACTGGCCACTTGCTAAACCTGCTTTTCATCCCAGTGACAAATATGTGACAAAGGTCTGATCATCCGGCTGATGATGGAGATGGGAGGGATGTGACAAGGAGATGAGGGCTCAGCTCGTGAGGGGCACATAGTGTGTCCCAGCCAGGAGCGCCTACACAGGGACACGCGGTGTGCTGGGTGCTGCAGCTGAAGCCTCCCCCTGGAGAATTCAGGCAGCAGGGGTGGGACTGGCCTGAGGTCACAGAAGGTCCTGATGGTGGTGAAACGTCACAGTAGGTTACGTAACTTTCTCAAAACCACCGACCGTGCCTTTAAATGAGTGGGTGGTGAGGTGTGTTCATTATCCCTCAGTAAAGCTGTTAAAAATTAAAGAAGGAACATGGGGCCGAGATAAGCCAGGCGGAAACAGAGCACATGCGGGGACAGAGGCCAGAAGGAAGGAGACAAAGAGGCACATGGCTGCCAGCTGCAGGGAGGCAGGCACAGCAGCCAGAGGAGGGCCGTGGCCTCCTGTCACACAGAGGCTCAGGCCGGCCCGGCCACAGCAGCCAGGCCCGGCTGCAGGTGCCGGGTGAGAGTCCTGACCCCGTGCCTAACCGGGGGACCACCTCAGGCAAGTGACTTCCCTTTCCGGGCTCCTGAGATTCACAAACATTCCAAGTGTGCATGAGACAAAGAAGATCAAGACAAAGGAGAAGAAAATCACCCCACGTTAAAAGGCAAACGGCAGACAAGCCGTGGTGGGAATGGTCGTGGCCACAGACACACAAAATCCGCGAGGGGACTCTCACCGCGGTGTGAGGGGACTTGGAGGTGGGGCTGGGGGAGGCAATGAGGTCACAGGGTGGAGCCTCATGCATGGGATCCATGCCCTGATGACAGAGATCCCACGGACTTCTGCAGCCCTCCCTCACCTAGAACAAGGACAGGGTCCTTCAGCAGACACCAAGCCACCACCACTGGTGGGAGGGAAACCCAGGTGGCGATTCGGGTGGCATGGGGCTGGAGAGAGCAAAGGCTGTGTGAAGTGGCCTCTTATCTCATGGTGTCACTCAAGCCCTGAGGAGCCCTGTGGGCCAGGCACCTTGGAGGAAGCCTCAGAATTGAGTGAGGAAGTAAGGTCCCCAAGGCAACTGTCCCATGGCCTAGTGGAGAACTGGGACAAAGGGAAAGGGCCACGCATGCTGGGGAAGGAGCAGGGAGAAGAAGCTTAAAGGGAGGGGCGGCAGGTGTGTGTGCGCATGTGTGTGCCCGTGTGTGCATTGTGCGTGTGGTGTTTGTGCATGTGTGTGTGTGTGTGTGTGTGTTGTTAGAGTGTGTTTCTTTGCAAAGAACATTCAGGTTGAGACCCAGGTTGGCACAGGAATTCCCTAGAGGAAGAATAACGAACAGGCATTCTAGAAGGGCGGGAGCTGGGAGTGGCTCAGGAGCAGAACTCTCGGGAAGCCCTAGCTTCCATCCCAGCACTGCAACTGATGCCCAAGAACCTCAGCAGAGAGCAGTGGTACAGAAGCTGGGATTGGAAAGATGGTGGGGACTCCCCCTGAGCGGCAGAAGGGCAGGGGCCAGAGACAGGGGCGCTCAGTAGGCCAGAGGCTTTCACAGGGAGGGGCATCATCCGGCCACACAGGGCCCACAGTAGCCCTTGGGGACCTTCCACTGGGGCTGCTGGGGATCTGTGTCCCGGGGCCTCCCAGCCCAGGCAGGCTCACGGCCCCCCTTCCAGGACAGGGGCTTCTCTGCTCTGGTGTGCTGCTGGGAGCCACTACCCAGAGGGACTCAGGGCCTCAGAGTTGAGACCAGAGGAGGCCCTGTCACTGAAGCTGAGCCTCAGAGCCCCTCACAGGGCGACTCCTCCCTTCCTTCTGCCATCTCGGAGCCACCAGGCAGAGGGGGGTGAGACTCAGCAGCCCGCACCCCACCCGGGGAGGCCAGCCTCTCTGTGGCTCCTGACTTCCCACCTGTTGCTGAGAGAACCCAGCCAGACCTTTCCCACAAGAATCCAACAATTGCCAAGAGTTCTACTTCCTGGTTTCCCTCTTCTGTTTGTCTTGGATTATTTGAATATTTTTTTAACTGTGTGCAGTCTGCTTTGACAACCTTTTTTTTTTTAATTACAAAGCTATTTGTTTAGGGGGGGGAAAAAAGCCTCCTTTTTATTCCACCAGCCACGCCTGGCTTAGTTTCTAATGAGACCAGTCTTGCTGACTCTGTTCCCACCCGGGGCCTGGGAGATGTGATTCTTGGGTTTCCACGGAGGCTATTTTCTTAGGATGCTGTGCCCTAGGGAAGATGTCCCCGTCCTAGGCAGGAGCTGGGCATGGACTTTGGCCCCATTCACAGAGCACCTGGAGCAAACTCTTTATGATTTCCTAGGACCTGACTCTGAGATTAGGATCTTAATTGAATATCTATTGACCTCTAAGAGCTTGGCACAGCCTACATCAGCCAGATGGACAGGACAAGACTCGGCCCGAGCAACCACCCAGCCTCTGTGGTCTCTGGGCTGTGTGGCCTGCACAAGTCACCTCCCTCCCTGATCCCCACTCTGCAGCCTCTTCTCAAAAGAGATGCTGCAGTTACACACAGGGTTCCTCCCAGGGCAGGAGCAGCACGGTGCAGGGAAGGCAGGCCCAAAAGGAAACCCACAGGCCTGTGTGCAAGATGTCAGTAACTCCATTCCACAGAAGTTCCCAGCCAAACACGTCTGGGATTACCTCACAGCACCTGCCAGCTCCAGGAGGAAGGTACCCCTGACCCTGCCCAAGTCTCAGCTTCCTCCTCTGTCCACTGACTCACCCGTGGCTGGTGAATGGGTCCTGGGATCCTTGCCAGGAGGTCACCTTCACAGCCAACTCTGGACTTCTCCCCGGCTCCCCAGAGACCAGAGCTTATGGGCGGCGGCCGTGAAAGGGAAACCTGAGGTCAGCCCTTGCCAGCCTGGGCCAGGGCCTAGGAGGCTGGCCAAGTGCTTCCTGAGGGAGGCAGAACTGAACCAAGCAGAACAAGGCCCAGCAAGAGAGCCAGGCAGAGCAGGGACAGGACACTCAAGCAGGGAAAGCCTGGGAGGGAGAGAGACAGCTCATTCCAAGTTTGCTAGCTCAGAATGGACTGGCAAGAGGACGGGCACCATGACTCCTGAAGGGAGACATGAGCAAATCTTCCTGGAGGGACAGCAGAGCCTGGGCCTGCCTTGTGAAGCCTCCCAAGCCTCCCAGAACTCTTTGGCCATCCTCTGTAGAAAGCCTGGACTCCTTCTAGGGCCCATGGTTTATCTCTTTTGAAAGAGGCCCTTCTGCACGTCCTATAGTCTCAGACACATCACTGGGCACCTTGCTCTCTGGGATCCCATTTCATCCTCACCCCCACTCCCCCACTCCGCCAGGCAGGAAGACTGTGCCCACTTGGCAGCCTGGGAGAGTGAGGTTACAGCCGAGGGGGTGGGCGCTTCAGGCCCTGGCTCCTCCCTTATGACCCGTGAGCACCCAGGGCCAGGACTCTGGCTGTCCAGAGCCTCCCGGCTTCTCCCTCTGGGCCAGGGGCCCAATAAGCCCTGTGAGAGGAAGCTGAGGGCAGCAGGGGAAGGCATGGAACCAAGATGCCAGCCCTCAGCGGTAGGTGGGGAGCCCTCCCAGCCGCCCAGGAAGTTGGAGCTTCAGGGGAGTCACCTGATGGTCTCACAGAAGAAGTTCCCAGCCCTGAGAACCCAGCGGCAGGGCTGCCAGTGTGGGCCTCCTGTGTTGAAGACTGGAGTCGTAGGATGAACATCTGCCGTCTTGAAGTGGGTCAGGAAGTTACCAAAGTGAGGACTGGCAAGAACACGGCCAATCGACCTAACTGAATTTACAATGAACAGAAGCTCTGTGCTAACCCACAAGATGAGCAGGAGGACACACCTGCCACATCTCAGACCCGGGGTTCCAGGGCCCTACGAGAAAGGGCTCTACCCACATGCAAAAGACAAGCCCCAGGTTAAAATGGCCAATTCAAATCTGAAAACAATCATCAAATACATACAAACTGTCCACGAAGAAACAATCTTGTACCACCATCTGGTGAAATATCAGAAAATTAAAAGGTGAGCCAAGTGTCGGCAAAGGTGTGGGGATCCATCAGTGAGAAGGAGCCCAGCTCGGGAGCACCTGGGTGGCAGGGTCACTTGCTTGCGGTTCAAAGGTGTTATGGGCATGAATGAGCCACACAATGGTGTCCACACAGGTAAAATGACCCCACAGGCTGGGCCCCGGTGGCGCACGCCTGTAATCCCAGCGGCTTAAGAGGCTGAGGCAGGAGGATTGCGAGTTCAAAACCAGCCTCAGCAATTTAGCGGAGCCTTAAGCAATTCAGTGAGACCCTTTCTCTAAATAAAATGTTTAAAAGGGCTGGAGATGTGGCTTAGTGGTCGAGTGACCCTGGGTTCAATCCCCCCACCGCCAAAAAAAGACCTCACAGAACCCTAGGCGGCCACCAGGTATTAAGCTACCCGATGGAACAGACGGGATTCTTTGGTAAAATCTTTGGGGTCCCCCACTGCGCCCACCAAAGAGACCGCATCTCTCGCTGCGCAGCTGCTTCCCTGCCCGCCCTCCGGTGTCCACGGTGGGCCTTCTCGCCAGCCGCAGGACCCTGGGCAACCGCACACAGCGGGTGCCCACCGGTTGCCGGCGAAAGACCGCGGCAGACTGCGCCGCTGGCCGTCCCCACGCTGCCCGCCTGAGGCTGAGCCGCGCTCCGCGGGAGACTCGAGTTCCCAGAGTCGCAGGCCGAGACCCCGCGGAGCCAGGTGGGGATGCACCTCCCCGGGGCGAGGATGCGGCAGTGCGGCTGGCCCCCGGCTCGCACGGGATCCCAGGCAGGCTCTCGGGCTGTCCCCACCCGCAGGCGCCCGCAACGCGCTCACCCAGCATCTCCTTGCGCCGCTGCGTGTGCGGCTGGTCGGTGTAGACCCACTCGAAGTCGCTGCGGCCCGCGCAGTTGCCCATCGTGCGCCCGGGAGCGCAGCGCACAGCTCCGGTCTGCTCCACCTGCCCCGGCGCCCGCGCGGCGCCGGCCACTTCGGGCGGGGCCGCCGGAGGGGCGGGGCTCGCGGTGGCGGACCCGGGAGAGCAGGCCGGATTCCTGCGGTGCCCGAGTGGCTCCGCACCTGGGCGGGCCGCGGTGGCGCTCGGAGCCTCAGTTTCTTTGGCCCGAAAATGGGGCTGTGCGTCCACCCTGGAGATTGCGGAGCGCACACGACCCACCCGCGTCCCTGGATCACTCCTGGTGGGGTGACACCGGCTGCCGCCCGCGGGCCGCGTCGCCTCGGAGCGCACACTCATTCTCCCCGCCTCGCTTGCCCGAACTAGTAGTCAGGCTTTAAGGCTGAGCGCTGGTTCTGTCCTTGGCTCACACCTATTTGCGTTTGGGTCTCTGACTCCTGCCATCCCTGTCCACACAGAGGATCCTGTAATAGTGCCCGCGTGGCAGGGAAGAGGGGACTTGGGAGGAAAGGGCTCAAAAGCATGCAAGGGTGTCCACAAGCAGCTCAGGAAAGGGGGGCTGCGTGTGTCCTCCCCTACCCACCCCATCACACAATAACCTCCTGGAGGTGAATCAGACCACCCCAGCCTCAGGGAACTTGAAATCTCAATGGGACACAGATAGGGAAGTGATTCCAGATGATGTGTACCATATCACAAGATAGGCCATGGAGTAGCTAGGATCTAGTAGAAGGAGCTTTTGCATTGGGCCTTGTAGGATGAGTAGGAGTTCAACAGTTAGAAAAGCAGAAAGTGATAGAGGGAACAGCAGATGCAGAGGCTCACAAGCAAAGAAGAGCCAGACATTCTCCAGGTGAAGAGTCAGTTTTGGGGATGGGGAGACAGAGACCCTCATTTTTACCTTCTCAGGGATTCCTCTCCTCTCCTTCTGCTCCTCTGGAGCTTGGAGGGTGTGCATGGCATACCTCAAGACTCAAGTCTGGCCTCTGCCAGGTTCTGTGCTCACAAGCAGCCAGAGCTACCACAAGGCAGTGACGGCCAGCTTCCCTGCTCCTCAGAAGTCCAGCCCAGGAGTGCCGTCAGCTTGACAGGCCTTCTTCTGCCCAGAGCCAAGGGCAGTCCCAGCCTGAGCTAGGAAGGAGGACACAGGCATCCACCACAGCCCAGGTCAGCTAGGGAAGAGGGTGGGCACAGAGGCTGGATGCCCCAAACAACGGGTGGACCCTCAGCGCCCCTGGTCAGCCCCCCATACTACATATATGACAGGGGCACTGGTCCAGCTTGCACACCTCCAGAGACAGAAGGCTCCTTGTTCTGCGGGAAGTCTGCCCTATTCCCAGCCGGGAGGGCCTCAGAAGCTGTTCTACAGCTGCCACTTTACAGGTGGGGAAACTGAGGCCCAGAGACGAGAAAGGCCTTGCCTAAAGTGGGGGGCTATGCTGCAAAGCTGGGCAGGACTCTGCTTCCGACTCCCAACTTCAAGAACTTCCCAAGCCAGAGCCTCCAGCCCACCCTGAACTTGAAGGTCTGCCCTGAGATGCCCCCAAGCCTGCCAGCTCTCGATCCCAGGATGGGAATCCAGCAGCCACCCTGCTCTGACCCTGGGACAACACCTGTCCTGGGGACGCTGACCCAATGCTCTCATTTTACAGAGGAGGAAATTGAAGCCCAAGAGGGGACAAGAGGGACACAGAAGTGAGACAAGGGGGTGGGATAAAAGTTCAAGGTAAGGAACCTACAATTCAGTGCCCTTGCCAAGGGATCCTCAAGTCCCCCAGGTCAGCAGGAACCATCACTATCGAGACTTGCCCCAGCTTGTCCCTGGTCTTAGGAATGAAAGAAAAGACATTCATTTGTAAGGCGCCGTCCTGAATAGGATCCTGGAAGGAAGAAAGACACTGGGTAAAAACTTAGACAATCTGAATAAAGGATGGACTTTCTTTCATTATAATGTCTCAGTATTGGTTCATTAATTGTAACAAATGCAACATGCTATTCTAAGATCTTAAAATAAAGGAAATCGGATGTGGAGTATATGTAAATTTTCTACACAATCTTCACAGTTACTCTGTAAATCCAGAGTACATAGTGGCAGTCATGCACAACTTGCATCCTGGAGGAGCCTCCTGCCGTCGAGGACCCCGTGCTCAGGTGCCGGTGGTGATGCGGACGTAAACAGACCTGCAGTTTACAGGTTTACTAAGTGCAGCAGGTACAATTAGGCACAGTGTGTCATGCTGGACGAGGATCATAAACCCCGGCTGCCAGTTTATGTTTTTACTCTGCCGTACTTTTTATTGTTGTTTTAGCGTGGGGGGGGAGCCCTTGCTGGCCAGCCCTGGCTCGTAAACAGCACACAGAGCCTCTTGATGGTGCCATCTTCTTGGGCTCACCATGGCCTCGGGAGCAACAGGCTTCACTAAACACCACGCAGCTCTGCGTGCTGGAGGCGAAACTCTGGGGGTTTGTGTTGGTGAGTCTGTCACATTCACACATGATGAAATCACCCCGTGACACATTTCTCAGTACATGTCCTGTGGTTAAGGACATGTGACTATGTGGACATGGTCCCTGCACCTGATAAGCGCCAGACGAGTTGACCAACAGGGACTGTCGTGGTTGGAAGCAGAGGAGCCCAGGAGGCCAGCCACCGTGGCTCCCTGCACTCCTCCACCCGTCTCCTCTGGCAGCACGGAGGATTTTTTGCTGGCTCTCAGAGGGGCCCCATGTGGCCGTCGGTCAGAGCATTTTGGTATCGGCAGCTGCACAAGGAGCAGGAGCACCCACACCCAGAAATCTCAGCACACGCAGTGTGTGTTGCCACAGCAGAAGCTCGTCCTTGCCCCTCTTTCATAGAAAACAGGCCAGAATGCATTCCAGACAGCCCCTCCCACGCTCCCAAGCCAGCAGAGTCAAGCAACCGTGACCCAGAGCTGGTCGACATCCCAGCTATGTCACCCCATGAAAGAAGAGCAGCCAGCCCAGACAGGGGGAGGACCTGCCTGTTTTCCTGGAAGACAGCTACGAGAGGGTAGAACTGCCACGGAGGGTGGGGGACCTTCCAGAGACACCAAAGTCAAGTCATCCATTACAAAGACCGGGCCAGGCGTGGTGGCCCGCACCAGTGATCCAGGAACTTGGGAGACTGAGGCAGGAGAGACAAATTCCAAGCCAGTCTCAGAAATTTAGCAAGGCTTTGTCTCAAAATAAAAAATAAGAAGGGCTGGGGGTGTGGCCCAAAGATAGAAGCCCTGGTTTCAATTCCTAGTACTGCAAAATAATAGTTGTAGTAGTAGTAATAATAATAATAATAGGATTGGGGCTATAGCGCCACAGTAGGGTGTTTGCCTAGCTATGTGTGAGGCCCTGGGTTGAGCCCAGCACCACAGAGAATTAAAAAATAATAAATAAAAATAAAAAATAATAAATAAAAATAAAAAATAATAATAACAAGCACCAACTAAAAAAGACTGTTTAGAAAAAAACAACCCTCTGGGGACAGGCTGGAGCTCCGTGGCAGGGTTTGTGCTTAGCATGGGGGAAGCCTTGGGTTCCATTCTGAGCATCAAATAAATAAGTTTTAAGGAACAAACTTGTCTGCTGAAAAGGAGCAGGGTTTCTGGGAGCAGAGGCACGGTGCATGTCCTGAGCTTCCCGGGCTCTTCCTGGACATCCTGTCTCTGCAACCCTGATAACAATTAACAATTAATGACACGTAATTATGGCTATCTTACCTGAAATGAATTAGCATAGCTGTATTTGCTTGCAATGATGCATTGCTTCACCACAGGGCCATGTTCTGAGAATTCCTCCATTAGACAATTTCCTCATTGTGTGAACACGGCCCAGTGTGTCCCACAAGCCGGGATGGTGCAATCATGCTCTGGACACAGTACATGCCCAACTGTTGAACAGCCAACCTTTCCTTCTGTAAGTAGAAGAGGTACCCTCTAAAATAAAGATAAGAAGCATGCCTTGGCACTGCATGCCCAGCCATAGGGGCTCACGGTTAAGCCTCATGCCCTGGGCAGAGTGGCATCGCTACACTCTTTTTTTTCCTTTGTACTAGGGATTGAATTCAGAGGCACTTAACCACTGAGCCACATCCCAGCCCTTTTTTATATTTTATTTAGAGACAGGGTCTTACTGAGTTTTTTTAGGGACTCCCTAACTTGCTGAGGCCGGCCTTGAACTCATGATCCTCTTGCCTCAGCCTCTGGAGCCGGGGGGATTACAGGTGTGGGCCACCATGCCCTGCCATTGATATGCTTTTATACAACTGGCAGCACCGTAGGTTTTCTTACTCCAGCGTCACCACACACACGTGAGGCATGCTTCTGCTACGTCATTAGGTGACAGGAGTTTTTCAGCTCCATCACCATTTTACAGGACCGCAGTCACATATGCATCTTCAGCTAAAATGTTATGTGGCGTGTGACTGTGGATGGCATGTTCCCTCGGCTAGTGAGCCTTGTTCTCTGGGGACCACCCTTGGTATCCCCAGTGCCTAGAATGATTTCTGGTAGAGAAGATCTCCTAACAACAATTTGCTAAAAGAATGAGTGATTCACACTGAAGGAGTGATGAGGGACTCCTCGGAGCGGAAGAGGCAAGAGAGTTCAGATGGAGCGGCTCAGGGTGTCACAGCATTGAAACCTGCCCCCACCACTTTGGAAAACCCTTCAGCAATATCCCCTA